ATACGTCCAGTGGGGCCTGCTCCACTACTCACCAAATGCACAAAAGACAGCATATGGCGGTGTATGGTTCCATGTTTCAGCAGAAGATTCATTCTACTAATATTATATACATTTGGTGAGTTGTGGAGGGAGGCCCTGAGAATCACGTGGAGGCGCGAACAGGGTCTAGCTGAATTGGTGACCCATAACTGCCGAGCTACAGCCCTGAACTCGAATCCACAGCATATATTGGTGGTCTGCCCACATCTCTCCCACACGTGACGAGGCCATCCCTCTCATTTTAGCTGACCCTTAATGGCTCCACCTGTATTGTAGGAGCCATTCGAGGTACCTGCAGGGGGCCTGGAATTGACGAGAAGGGGACCCTTTGTTGTCTCTCTCTTATCTCTTTCTTTCTCTCTCTCTCTTGGGGCCTATCTTTTTTTTTTTTTTTTTTTTTAATTGCGCACAGGGCGCAACTCCCTCAGCGCGCGCACCGCGCACAGCGGACAGCACTGCGTACTGCGCACGACGCACAGTGCGCGCGCTGTCGTTCTAGCGCACAGCGCAGTGCGCACCGCCCCGCACCGCACTGCGCACTGGTGCGCCGCAACTATGGTCACAGCATGTGGATTGGATGGCACCATGTGGGTTCACCAATACAGTGCAGGGTGGGTGGGCAATGCTACATGGCCGGCGGCTCAAACAACCCCCAGCAACCCCACCCCACCAAAAAAAAAAAAACAAAAAAAACAAAGAACAAAGAAAAAGCCAAGCACGTGTGGCTAAATGGTAAGGGAGAAAAAGCCAAGCACGTGTGGCTAAATGGTAAGGGCATACTCACACTAGCTCTAACTTAAATCTGACTGGGCAGACCCGGATGAATCTCACCACAAATTACGCCGAGAAACAAGCTAGTCCTAGTGTGAGTATTCCCTAAGTTGGCCCTGCATCAAGCTCGCGACTCAATGGTCCTGTCTTCTGCGACGGCTCTGCTATGTACTAATATTCGAACATCCGTATCAAAACGGATTCTGACAGCATTTACAGCCGTGCATGGATTCTGACCACATGTACTGCCCCTCCAGGATTCTGACTGATTCTGACCGCATTTACGGCCGTCCAAGGATTCTGACAGGTTCTGACAGCATTTACACCCCCCCGAGGAGAAGTCACGGCGTGCTTGCACTGGCTCTAGCTTAAATGTATCTTACGCATTCTAACCGCATTTGTGGCCGTCCATGGACGAATCTGACCACAATGGCATCGATACATAAGTGAAAAAGCCCTGCTGTGAGTATGCCATTCGCCCCCAGGAAACACCAGGGCATACTCACACTATCTAAACCTTAAATGTACCTCACCACATTTGCGACCGGGTCTAGATGAATATGATCGCAAATACATCGATAAGTAATTGAAACAGTCATGGTATGAGTATGTCCTGAGGTGGCCCAGCACAACTCTGAACGGGTCTGCCATGTACCTGTATTCGAACATCCGTATCCAAACATTCCCTGTCCGAGTTCGAGCTCCACCTCCCGATCTCACGTGAACAATGTGTGAATCGCAATCCTGAACCGCAACAACGGCCAAACGGGGGGAAAACGAAATATCGTCCATGCCGAAACAATGCATCCGCATCGATGCAACTGCCAAACGAAAATAAGAAAAATCTACGTGCTGCCGCCCTGTAATTCGAGCCCCTGACCTTGACATCAACAAGCAGCCCCTCCCAATGAAACGCAACAAGGCCAAATGGGAAAAACAAAGAGTCCCAGCCCTGCCGAAATGACGCATCCACCTGCCCGCCCGAATCGGGGCAAAGGCCAATCCAAAATAAGGAAAATCTCCATGCTGCCGTGCCCTGCGATTGATGCCGGCGACCTTGACATCAACTACCAGCCTCTCCCAAAACGAACGGCCTACAGACACTGCAAATTTCGCAGGACCTCGGGATAATATTTTTGCGGGGCCTATTGGAAATCTTTCCAGGCCCAGCTTTCAATTTAGTAGTTATGGAGGTGTAGATTATAAAAGATTAGAGATACAGATAAAGCTGTTCTCTCGATTGCAAGTTTACATTAGCAATTAGCAAGCGGCTTGGAATAGTCAAAGTGAATGGTGCTCCGCTACTGACTTCATCGGTTTGGCTCTCCTCTTCCCTCACATGATCCATGGAAAATGTCATCCAAAAAACAAAAACCACTCCTCCCACGGGCAACTGTTCAATGTCAGTTGATGGAATGCAGTTGCGGAAAATTGCTAGCTAGAACTTAGGAAGAAAAAAAAAAAAAAAAAAAAACTTAGAAAGAACGCATCAACTGATAATCAAGACGTTTGAGCCTACGACCTGGCTCAGGAGGAATATCACCAAAGGAACAGCATGAGAAAAGATCATGGTTACATTGGACCCAGAAACCAGGTACCATCTGGTCCAGACTCCGACCTGAGTCTAATTCAAAAAGAACATCAGCAAACTCAAGAAGCAGCATGAGTCAAACCACCAGTACACCCGGGCCTGGCGGCCTTCGACTGTGTGCCAAGTTTTTCCGAACCTGCAGTCATGCACCTCTAATTGTTTTGGCCTGGTGCCACCAGCCATTGTGGTCCGGTAGCCCCGGGGCTCCGAAATTTTCGTAGGCGAAGAACAATTTATCCGCAAGGACGGGTCCGTGTACTGGCGGTTTAAGTCTAAACGCAGAATCAGACTGTTACACTCATTTAATCTCAAGGAGCAGTATGAGTAAAGTGTAACTGCAGAATCAGACTGCTACGCTCATTCGGACAAACAAAAAGCCTGGACATAGATGACACCAACTGAACCTAGTCCACCGCCAGTACCCCCAAACAACAGAGTGTATCAAAGAAGAAACTCATGCATTGATCTCATCCCTCGGCCACCCATGTTTATTGTTGAACAGCAGTTCCACTGACCGCCAACATACGCCACCCTGTGCTGTTATGAGAGAACCACACATACCCTGCTCTCCCTTCGGGATTAGAGGGTGTGGATCGGCCTCCAACAAAGAAATACCTCGCCCTGTACTCATCTAACCTCTTTCTATGTGCGGGGAGATCAGCTTTTTCCCTCTATTGTTCTCTCCTCATTTTACCTCCTGCCCCACTGTCCCTTGGCGTGTAGGAACTCGCTGAGTAGTACATCGACACAAGGTTGATCTTGATTGGCCGTGCTCACCCCGGGACTTTTTCAGCTGGACCTCAGTGGAATTGCAGTCATATACATCCATGAAAGTTCTAGTGTCGATATGTGCCCTAAGTTGCTC